CCTTATAAGGTCGCTTGGATTAATTCAACTGCTATGGAGATTAAGAATATGAGCCTTATTCCTATAGAGATCATGGGATATCAGGAGAAGATTTGGTGTGATGTTTTAACTATGGATGTGGGTCAAATTATCTTTGGTCGTCCTTGGTTGTTTGACAACGATGTCCATATCTATGAGAGGACAAACACCTGAGTGTTTGAGCATAATGGCAAGAAGATTAAATTAGTACCCTCCCAACCTAAGCCCAATAAGAATGAAGTCCAGCCTACTCCTGTTAAACCCAGCAAAGGATTAAACTTCTTAACTGCGAAAGAAGTAGATGCTGAACTGAGACAAGGAGCCCCTATGTATGCTCTAGTGGCCCGAGAAGTAACTGTGGAGCTTGGAGAATCTGTCCCGGAAGAGGTCCAACCACTTCTAGAGACCTTTGCGGATGTCTTCCCTGTGGACCTCACAAACCAACTACCCCCCTTACGGGACATCAAGCACGCTATAGACCTAGTACCCGGAGCCTCGCTACGTAACCTCCCCCACTATCATATTAACCTGGGAGAGCATGTCAAATTAAAAGAACAAGTCGATGAGTTGCTCCAAAAGGGATTTATCAAAGAGAGCCTAAGTCCATGTGTTGTTCCTGCACTTTTAACTCCCAAGAAAGATGGTTCTTGGAGGATGTGTGTTGATAGTCGTGCTATCAACAAAATTACTGTAAAATATCATTTCCCCATTCCCCGCTTGGATGACATATTGGACATGATGACTAAAGAAACCCTTTTCTCAAAGATCGATCTTAAAGTGGTTATCATCAAATTAGAATACACCTTGGTGACGAATGCAAGATGGCCTTTAAAATTAAGGATGGGTTGTACGAGTGGATGATTATGTTGTTTGGCCTTAGCAACGCCCCTAGTACATTCATGGGAGTTATGCCCAAGTCCTTCGCCCGTTTTTAGGAAAATTCATAGTCTATTTTGATGATATCTTGATCTATAGTAGTTTGGTGGATCAACATTTAAATCATCTTAAACAAGTCTGTGAGGTTTTGAGGAAAGAACAAGTGTATGTGAATCCTAAGAAATATACGTTCCTCGTTGATAGTGTCACTTTTCTCAGATTTATCATATCTTCACATGAAATATCGGCCAACCCTGAGAAAGTACGAGCTATTAATGAGTGGCATGAACCAAAGAACATCAGAGACATTCAGAGTTTTCACGAATTGGCCACCTTTTATCGGTGGTTTATTAGGAATTTTATCACTAATGTGGCTCCTATAATCGATTTCCTAAAAAATGGAGAATTTCTTTGGACTTTACCTGCCTCTAAAGCTTTCGAGGAGATTAAGAAGAGAATGGTAGACCTCCACTCATGCGTCTACCTGATTTTTCAAAAGTTTTTGAAGTAACTTGCGACACGTCTGGTAACGATATAGGAGTTTTATCGCAAGAGGAACACCCAGTTGCGTACTTCAGCGAGAAATCAAATTATATCAGACAACGATACTCTACTTATGATAAGGAGTTTCATGCAATCATCCAGTCCCTTAGGTATTAGAGACACTACCTGCTGCAATAATTTGTTATATTTTCTGACCACGAGGCTTTGTGATACATCAATTCACAAAAGAAACTTAATGCCCGACATAACAGATGGGTCGAATTCCTACAAGAGTATACTTACACTATCATGCATAAGGCGGGATCCGAGAATAAGGCAGCTGACGCCTTACGTCATCGTCTGATGAGGACTCAAGAAATGAGGGCTGAGGTGATTGGATTTGAACGTATCAAAGAAGACTATAAGGATTACCCTGATTTTAAAGAACATATTACTGACAACTGGAGAAGAACGGATAATTGATGATTTTCTTTGGGAAAATGGATATTTGTTGAAATCTCAAAAACTCTGCATTCCCAACATATCGCTTCGTGAATACCTTGTTTGGGAAATACATGCTGGTGGATTAGCTAGATATTTTGGTCAAGCCAAAACTATCGCTGCTATTGAAAATCGGTTCTACTGGCATAGTCTTAAGCGTGACGTTAGTAAGTTAGTGAGGCGGTGCCACACATGTCAATTGGTCAAACAAAGGAAGCAGAACACAGGCCTTTATACACCCCTACCTGTACCCAACTGCCCTTGGCAATATGTGAGTGTGGATTTCATCCTTGGTCTACCCATGACCTTTAGGAAGCATGACTCTGTCTGTGTGGTAGTAGATCAGTTCTCTAAAATGGCTCACTTTCTCCTGTGCTCCAAAAACTTCGATGTCTCTAGGATCGCGAAGTTATATTTTGATGAGATTGTCAGACTTCATGGGCTACCCAAAACGATAGTGTCTGATAGGGATGTAAAATTTACAAGTTATTTTGGAATACTTTATGGCATAAGATGGGCATCAAACTTCAATTTTCGACAACCTTCCACCCCCAAACAGACGGTCAGACCGAAGTCATCAATAAGATCTTAGGCAACCTATTAAGAACTTTAGTACGAGAAAACATTAGAGATTTGGATTCCAAATTGTCTATAGCTGAATTTGCCTATAACAACTCTTTTAACCAAACCACCGGTCTAAGTCCCCCTGAGATTGTTTATGGATACCAACCTAGACAACCTATAGATTTGATCCCTATGAGTCATCAGTCTAGAGCATCTGAATCTGCATCTGCATTTACATCACACCTTCAGGAATTGCATAAAGAAATTCATAACAGAATTGAAGTAAGCAACGCTAACTATAAACTCAATGCGGATCACAAGAAAATATTCAAGGAATTTAAGGTTGGAGACTTTGTAATGGTTCAGATTCGCCCGGAACGATTCCCGCAAGGGGTCGTTAAGAAACTACATGCTAGAAGCGCCGACCCTTCAAAATAATTTCAAAATTAAATGATAATGCTTATGTGCTAGACCTACCCAAAGGTCTTAACATCAATCTTACATTTAATATTGAAGATCTTGTAGTCTTTGAGGGACCAGAGTTCAACCTACCAAATCCACTTGATAATGAGCCTTGTGAGCCCATACCTGGTGAAAACCCTAGCCTACCTCCACTCCCAGACTTATCCACTTTACCCAGTGCGAAAGAGATCAAAACAATACACGATGATAAATTATCTCTACTAAAGGAGGGCGCCGAAGGTATTTAATCCAATGGAAAGGGAAACCAAAGACGGAAAATGTGTGAATTGATCGTATTGAGCTTCAGAGACTGGATCCTGACCTTTTAGAGCTATATGAGGGCACTCTTGACACGTACTCGACGGGGTCGAGCATTCTCCTACCCGGGAAGAATAATGAGGACATCAGTAGGAGATTCTGGAATATCTATCGATGGAAGCATCGTAGAACAACGGCTACTATGAGGAACTTATATATTTGATATATTTTATGTATTAGTTCAAATTTTTATTATTTATGTTTGTACCCTTGCTTGTGTGTTGAGTTTAGTTGTAGCCCTATGGGCATTTTAGTCATTTCCCTTCTCTCTATGAGGTCTATATATTAGGTCATTCGTCTTGTATTTGGATGATGATTATGAAATGAATTTTCAGATTTTTTTGCTTGATCTCATTGTAAGTTCTTGAGAGGAGAGACCCCCTAGGAGAGGGCCTTGCAATACGCGTCAGCCACCGGTGGATTCTGGGACTCGTAGTTCTTCGTTTTCCTTTCCCTATCACTGGCCACCTTATCTTCCCTCCCACCACCACCAGCCAATCCAACCCACCTCTCCACCGGCTGGCCTTTTTCCCCAATCTCCCTCTAAGCCGCGGGCCACCCCTCACCCCATCCACACGCAGACGACCACCCCACATTCACCCCCAAACCACCGGCCTAGCTAGCCCTAGCCCCATCGCTGACCACCCCCTTCCTATTTCCCTTGGATGATGAAATCAATCATCATTAACACCTACCTAAAATAGTCTAATTGGTTTGGGAAAGATTTAAATAATTTGAAATTCAAATTTCGAATTTCAAATACTTTCCTAAACTAAGAAAGCTAAACTAGGAAAGTTTATAAATTGGGATCTAATTTAATTTTAAATTAGATTTGTCATTCTTATTTCATCTCTAATTAATAGGAGTGCATTAGGAAACTAGTCAACCCTTCCCAATCTCCCCCCATATTCTCTCTATGCTACCGACCCTCCCGATGCTCCAAATATTTGAATTCAAAATTTGAAATCTAATCCTTCCCTCCAGCCTAGTTTAATTCTCTCAAATGATTACTATCCTTGGTAATTAATTTTAAAAAGAATTTAATAACCCTAATTCTCCTGACCCATATTTGAATTTAAATTTGAATTTCTAATTCTTTCCCTCATTTAATTAAATCTGAAATTAATTTCAGATTTAATGCTCTTTCCATAACCCCAAACCTAGACCCTTACAAACCCTAATTCCCCCACATTTGGCTGATACTCTTGCTTGCCCATCCGCTTGGAATTCCTCTCATCTCTTGAGCTCTCTTGCAAGAAAAGAAGTCAAGCATCTTCCCTCCGGACGTTAGTGGATCACCGGTCGTCTACACATAGCCCCTCCTCCGGCTAATTTTCGTTGGATCTCTACCCCCGGCTTCCTCTCCTTCGTAGTGGCATCTTCCGGATTGTGGCGAATCTTCTTCCGCTAACCCTTAAAGACTGTGAGTGCGGGAAACTCGAGGTGAATGCTTTCTTTGTTACGTGGTGGATTGTTTGTTTGTTGCACTACTTGTTTTCATTATATTCTTGAAATTATTTTGAGATCTTGTTTTTCGATTGTGTGGTTACTTACCATATCAATTTAAACAATTTTAAATTCGTAAGATCTTTTCAAAGTGAAACGTTAAGTTTAAGTTGCGACGCCTAATTCAATAGTTATAAATTTCTATGTGCAATTCCTATGTTATTTCACATCATTAGGACTCCTTGGAAATTTATACAACTCATTTACATGTTAATAAAAGGTCGAATGGATAAAATAACTTCAACGAAAATATCCAGAGAAAACGGGAGAACCTTGAGGTTATCTGGTATAAGACCTCTGGAAGATCAATTTTCTGTTCAAATTGTTGCTGCATGGTTGCAAATCCAATCAGAAGAGGTTCAAGAAGCCCAACAAGACAGCTTCTTATCTCAACTCCCTTCTTTTGTCGGGGATTTATTTCTGTCGGATTTGCAAACATTAAGCGATCATTTAATGCGCCAAGCAATGCTGCACCAAAACAAGGGTAAACTCAGGGCAAAATTTTGACAATAAGGAGACGTCTGAAAGAAAAGACAAGTCAAGATTAGGTATTTGAGCTAGTTGTTCTTGACATCAACATTTTTTAGTACATAGGAAACACCAGAAAAAACCAATATGAGAAAGAAGTAAAAAAAAAAAAAACACAAACCAGAACATGGTAGACACGTGGAAAGAATGGTTCGAATTTTGTTATCCCATCCAAGAACACTGACTGCAGTTGCACTTGAGAAGAGAAGTGCAGGCCCAACCCATAAAAGAGATCGGAAGTGCAAAATGTTAAGGGAAAAAATATGAAGAATATGAGCAAACAAAATGCAGTTTAATGCATGACCATGTCAGATAATGAAATAAAAAGGCAAAAAAGGATATAGATGGGTGTCCTCCATCAAATTTGGTTTCACTGCTAGAAATTATTTCTAAATCAGTTGAGCAAATCAATACCCTGTGGCTTGTAAGAATCCCAGCAACATGACCCCTGGGAGTCTCTTGCCAGTGAACCTAAGAAAAATAGCTGAAGAGAATGAGAATCTCTATATAGAAATTACATGAACTATTCAACGTTGACCAAATGATAGATCAATTGACGAACAACAAAAGACTTCAAGGGTCAAATTAGATAAGTAGCTAGGAATTTAGCATAAACAAAATAGGCATCACAAAATATCCTCATATATAAAACTGCAATAAAGAAGTTCTGGGAATCCGAACTCCCAGGTAAAACCAAAGTCCAAGCAGTTAACATAAAAAAATGCTAATCCGATCTAGTACTGCAATATTAGCAAAAAACCAAGGGAATATAGATATCAATTCAACATGAGAACAGTATAAAACGCATCATGCCCTAGTAGTGGTTAGATTCCCTATGAAAGAAACAAGAGTGTTTAAGATTCCCTATGAAGATAAAAATAAAGTACATGCCTGGATAACATGCTCATTCCGTTTAAGATTAATAAACTTCTTCCCCTCAGTTTTTGTAGAAATACTGCGTCCATCATCAGTAGATAAATGATATGATTGAAGAAGCTTCGCCAGACCTATATGATCACCAGATATAGAATACAGAATGGTTGACTCTGCAGTTAACAGTCGACATTGTTAGGTATAGGAAAAAATATTTGCTATTGTAATCATTGTTTAATGGTCTTTTTTTTTTTTTTTTTTTTTTTTTTTTTTTTTTTTGAGCAATAGAGAGATTTCTTTCACTTAACCTAAAGGAAATGAGAAGATGCGATCAACGTCTGTTTCAAAAATAAAATGATGAGGTCCTCTATCTGATCCACGTTGACCATCAGAAGAGTTACCATCAATTGCTCCATTATTTTCATTAACTTCTTGGAAGGTAGGTCCGGGTAACACATACAAAGCAAGACCGCTTCTGTCCTCATCCAGAATAGCATATTGATTCTCATTAGAACTCAAAAGTGCTGCATCTCGGCCTAAAATTGAAACAACAGAATCTAAGTCAAGAAAAATGAGGCTCTAGTAGAGATGCAGGAAAAGAGAGGAAGAAAAACCTTTTAATAAACTTCCTTTGTTATTTGATGATTGATCATCTGTCGGCTCCCGGTGAATAACAACTTCATGAAGGGAACCATTTGTGCCAATCAATTCAAAGACAACAAAAAACAAGCGTTGTTTTGAACTGTAAAGCATGTGCTTCGGAAGGCACTCTACATTTCCAGGAATCTGGACATATTTATGTAACATTAAACTCTGAATAGCACTAACATAGAACATAAAAAAGGAGGCATTAGTAATACCGTTGAGTAAAGCTTTTTGCACAAACTTTCAGCTCCTGTGGAGAGATTATAAGCCATTAGATTGAATCCATCTAGATAAAATGCCTTGCCTGGATACTGTAGGACACGATTCTGTTTGTTGAAGAAATTCAACTCCAAATGGAAAGGCTGGAAAGAAAGACGGAGGCAATTAAAGACAGATGAAATATTATTCACTAAGAACAGGAACCAAGAAAAAAGTTCCTGAGGATACCACACAAACAGGAACATCCTTTAGTAGGTTGTTTGCATCTGAGATCATTATGAGAGGCAACCGAGATATTGGGCCACTTTTTGCATGCCCCTCCATGAAATGCTGCAAGGAGATGTGTAAAGAGATCAACACAAAGTATAGCTTTCAAAAGACCAACGGTACCACATATTTATGGCAATGGAGAAAAAGTAACATTCAATAGGCATTAAATTGTAAAACTAATATTAATTATTTGGCTCTTTAAATTGTATCTTTCTTGCAACAGAAAGAACACGTCCAAAACAAAGAACTTGGGAACAGTTAGGATTCAAAGCTTCAGAAAATCAAGTTGCAGGTATCAGTATTTCTTTCAAAGAAATACAACTGTGATAAGTGAATAAGCATCAAGGTAAGAATAATTGAGGCTAACTCGATCAAGAAAGCACTTGTGATTTCTGAAAAAATAAAAGATCCTTTTCCTTACTGTTTTACTTGTTTCCTTTCTCGGAAAAAGATGTGCCAGCATACTGCTCAGAATGCAAAGATACTGTGGTGCCATGCTTAAATGCAAGCCAAACGACTGGGAGATTGCTTAAGGATCCGTATACATGTATTATTAGAATCACAAACATATCACCAGGCAAAGGAAATAAAGCCTTCCCATTAGGGCTGTCAAGACTTGAACCGACCCAAAGCTCGACCAAGACAACGCCTAGAAAATTTCGGATTCAGGTCAACCTGTTTTAAATACGGGTCGGATTCGGGTTCAACAAGCCAAACCATTTCAAAAATTGGGTCGGATTTGGGTTGACCTAGAAACCCAAAAGTGACCCGTGAACCCACGCGTTTGAGTTGCTAACTCGGGTTCGCACTTCGCCGTTCGGTTTTAATTAAATGCCAGCATTATTTTCGCATTCATGGTCATCCATTCTCTTCTGACTTCTCTCAATCGTTCTGTCGACTTCGTTCTCATTTCTCTTAGGGTTTTCTCATGTTTGTTCTTGCCTCTTCCTCAATTTCTATCGCCGAACAACACTAGCTGTCAGTGAAGGCAACATCTCAGTGGAAGGAAATTCACAGGCCCAAAATATTACATATGTTTCACTGTTTGTATATTTAATTTCATTGCCTACTTAAGGTTTTCTATTGTTTTTGTGTTGATTGATACGGAGGTTACTGTGAGTTGGTATTCATGTTTTCTCACCTCATCTTTCAGTTTTCGTAGCATTCTTTAAGAACAATAGGGTTTTTTAATTAGGGTTTTCTATTTTTTTTTTAATTTATTATCAAATTTTCATGTTTTAGACTTTAAGGTTTTGTTTTATATTACATTTGTTACTCTACAAGCTGTCATTGCCGCAGTGTTGGTATATTAGGGGTTTCATGGTCTTTTATTTTAACAATCGTAGGCTCACTATTGCAGCATTATTGTATTGTTGTTATGATGAAGTTATGCTTATGTAGTTGTGTAGTGTGTAGTGTTGGAGAATTTTTGTCATCCTCAATGGATTGAATATTTTGTAATCGAGTACGGCATAAGAAAGATGATATATTATCCTGAAGGATAAAAATATCATTTCTTTATGGACACAATAACAAAATTTATAATTTTAACAGAGATTCCTCCAGTCAATATTTGGTTAAATGGGGTTTACTTTATTCTGGGGTACAGATGCCCCATAGATGCAAGCTCCTATAGTTAATTACATTTCAAGCATTTGGAACTTGAGAAAGCTTTTGATTAAACTAAGGGTTTTCTTTCTTTTGAAAATCATCCAAATATTAACTAAAGTTTTTATTTTAAAAATCCATAAATCCTTGTTTAAAGAGTTTTGATCTTTAGGAATTTCAAGAATGAGATGATTAACTTTAAATCAGATTTTGGAATGATGACCAAATGAGTGAAGTAGGAGCACTTGATTCTGAGGAAAACTAAGAGGTACTCAAACTATCCTATGTTGGCTTTATATTTTAGAATATAACTTGTTTTTAAATTGACAATTTTAATTAGAATATTTGGGCTTACATTCTAACAACATGTGTTGAAGAAAATGACTGGAAGGTGAGGGCTTATGCAATGATTGAAATCAACTAAAGCCTCATACCCTAGAACTAAGACGAAAACTATTGAGGGCTAGTGCCTCGAACCTAAATCTAACAGAGTGCAAGGGACTTACAAACTACACCTCACATGAGGAATAGCCAACCCGACCTTTGAATTTATTATCCTACCAAAAAAGGGCTACCAGCTAATCCACGTAGTCGCTTTTAAAACTATGACATCTTGTCTCATTACATATGAAGAGTATGGAGATTATTTTTATTTAGATGATAGAGCTTACAACTTGGCTTTTAGGCTAAGATGCCTGACCATGAGTGGTATGCAGAATAATGACTCATAAATATAGATTTTTTTGTTATTTGATCCTTAAATGAAGGCTTTTCTACATGAAACTCACTGGGCTATACATGATCATTTTAAATTTTGAAAAAACTTAGCTCCTTCAAGAGAGTCAAGTAATTTTCTTTTTTATTTAGAAATTATGAAGCCTAGATTGATTTTATATTGCTTAGCATTTAACATAAAGAAATCTTAATTTTATTCTAAGAGTCTATTACATTCACATGTCCAGGCCACCCCCAAGAAAAACAAGAGAAAAAATCTAAGAAAAACATGCATTTTCTAATGCGCAATTAAGTAAACAAATCAAAACATGCTTGAATGTATAATCAAACAAAATAAATGTAAATTATAAAGTCCAAGTTATTACAACCAAGTTTGACAGCTGATTTGACAACCAATATTTATTACACTCTACTTGTGGGGGTCTTCAAGTTTCAACTTCCATATAGATCTTAGGCTTCACCTTCAACAAGTATATCCTTCTTGATCCACCTCTCCCTTAACCCAACCCCATAAGTTTGTCATACAACTTAAATCCAAACTATACATTTAGAAAATGATTAGACTCAAAGCTGCAAAACATCGGATCAGAAGACATTTTATATGATAAAAATATCACATCCAGAATTTTGCTTAGCACTTAAAGTGTCAAACGTTTGCTTCTACCATATTGGTCATATCTCATTAGGGGTTTTAAGCAGCACTTGTTATGCAAACATTTTTTATTTATGATTTATTACGCCCCCTTTTGAACATGACCACATGCAAGAGAAGCAATATATATATATATATATATATATATATATATATATATATATCCATGCTAATAACTTAAGGGCTAATGCCACAACGCAGATAATCCAATAGACAATCACACAACATCATCAAACACATGATCATAAAAAGAAAAATCCTAATCCTAACATGTCTAAGAGGATGTGTACCTAAATGTGTGAGGCTCGTGTGACATATCACTACAAGAGGCATTTGATTTTATTTTGGAATGAAGATGTTTAATCTTTTTCCATGGGCGGTTTCTTTTTAAGTTATTTGTGACTTAAAGATTTTATTTGACTTTTAAGTATTTCATACTTAGGAAGGTTATGAAGGACCCATAAAGCAACCACTGCTTGCTTTGAGGCAAGTCTACTTCTTATGAATCCTAAGATATAATGATGTAGACCCGTACCCGGCCCGAAAACCCGTTTTGACACACGTACTTTCCATCAACAGAATTTAAAAGCAGAAAAGTGTAACTGTTAAGATACTGTTTGGTTGGCCTAAAATGATGATAGAATAGTGTCATTAAAAGAATGTGTTTAAGAATGAAGTGAAGAGATGCACTGGCCCTACTCATTGCTTTCTTATGAAGCGCAAGTTAATAACAATACACACATGTCATGCACTTCACTGCGTTGCCTTGTGGCATTGCATGCTTGGCTCCATCTTAATTGAAATCTTGGTTCATAATTCATATTGTATGGTTCAGTTCAACATCTACCATAATAAGTAGACACAAATGCTCACTTTTATTCACTATTTCTTGTACTCATTAAGTTGTTGTTCATTGTTTCTACTTTTCTTCCACTAGAGCTAATTACTTCTTGGTGGTTCTACTCATAAGGCTCACTTCCTCGTTAGTTTTAATATATGCTTCTCACTGGTTCTTGTTATGAGCACTTGTAGCTTCTTATTCATAAAGTTTATTCTCAAGAATGTTTCTTAATACTTCATCTTCACATGCTCTCAAGATTCACGTTGTCTCCATCTTTTGGTCTCTAGTTGGCATGGGCGGATCCCCACTTAGGTGAGGGTGGGCAAATGCCCACCCTAAAAAAAATATTTAATATAGAAGAGGCATAATTTTGGAATTATGTCCCTCTCAAAAATATTTTTTTCCCTAATATGGCCCATCTCAAATCGTTTGCCCATCCATCCGAAGTATTTTGGTTGCTTTTATCTTCAATTTTTAGATTCTGCTCAGCCAAAGTGGTTAAATTTTTTTTAATGTCATTTTGAGTAGGTTTAATTTCATTGTGAATAGCAAAGCAGAAGAAATTCTTGTACTCAAACTTTAAAAACGAAAGATTTTGAAAGTCAAAACAATGAAGCAATAGTTTTTTTTACTACAACTTATATTATTAATAAAATCAATATTAAATTAGTAGATAAATGATAAAAATTTTCTCTTTTAAATTTGATAGCATTATGTTACCTAATTTTTTTTAAATTATTTTATTATTATTACTATTTGACATTATAATAATATTATTATTATTATTATATTTTAATTTTGTCTAACTAATTAAAATTTTCCTCACCCTAAAAAAAGAAGCCGGATCCACCCCTACTAGTTGCCTAGTTGGTCACTCAATCTCGCAAGCATTCTAGATTTTATTCTTTTATAAATTATAATTTTATTATTTATATCTTTGACTTTTTGTCTTTAAGATAGCTAAAAATTGTTGTTATTAGATGTATAATTATATTTGGTAAAAAATATAACCGAATGCAATTAAATTTGAGTATGTAAATGACTATTGTATATAGATAACATATGCATATATGATATACAAGTCATGAACACCCTAGCTATAACACACTGCTTTGTTTTGCATACTAAAGCAAAAAAGAATCATTGTATATCACATTGCACTTAGCACTTTGAAAATACTATGATAAGTATGGTAGATTACATTAGGCTAAAGAACGAATATAA